TGTTCAAAACAGAAGAAAAACCAGGGAGAGTAGCAAAATACCTCAACATTGTAAAAGTTATATACATTAAACCCAAGGCCAACATCATTCTATATGGAGAAGAATTGAAAGCATTTCCTCTTAGAATTGAAACAAGACAGGGATACCCACTTTTATCACTTTTATTTAATATAGTCCTTGAAATTATTAAAAACATTTTGAAGGCAACTGGGAAAATTCAGATGCTTAGGTTATTTGAAGGGTTTATCATTGTTTTAAGTGTGATCATGGCATTGTGTTTGAATTTGTTTTTTAAATAGTTGTTATCTTTGAATCTAAATATTAAAAATTAAATGATACATTTCTGGGATCTCCTTCTATATTGTGATGGAGAATATACGTCATTACACATTTGTTCAAACCCACAGAATGCACAACACCATGAGTGAACCCAAAACTGTGGAATTTGGGTGATAAAAATATGTCAGTGGCAGTATCTCAGGTTGCAATGGACCACTCTGGTATGAGTCGATAATGAGAGAGGCTGTGCATGTGTTAGGTCAGGGATATGTTGGAAATTTCTATTCCTTCTGTTTGATTTCTGCTATGAATCTAAAACTGCTTTAAAAAATAAAGTCTGTTATAAAAAGAAATTAAGGATAGAGAGAAAAAGTATAGGTCAAAAAGATCTCTATGACCTGAAAATTATTGGAGCTGGGGTGTAGGCACATTTTATTTTGGCATATGTTTGAAATGTTCCATGATAAGCAGGAAAGGAAATAATGACCATCACCACAACATGGTACAGGGCACGGGCACAGGTGAAGGGGGGTGGGGGACCTCAATCATCAGGAGCTTACCTCAGCAGGTGGTCAAGTCCTGCTCATCTGAACAGGACTGTCATCCCACAGTTTACCAGGGGACATCTGAGAGTCCACAATCCACCTGGCTACAACTCTTATCCATTGGGGCTTCTGGAAGGTGGACTGATAGGTTTGGACTGCCTTAGGTCCCTGGTGTTCTTAGATGAATGAAGGAGTAGGAAAACACTCCAGAAATACACCCTGATATTCTGGTCAACAAGAAACAGCGATGGCCCCAAAGTAAATTGGCAAGATACAAGAGATGAGTCTGTATTTAATATGTGTCAATGTAGTAAGGAGTTATATGGGTTAAATAAAATTTGTATCACAAACAAATTTTAATCCTCTATTAATTGTTTTCCTTCTTGCCTCTAAACATGTTTTCTAAAACTAATCAATTTTTAAAGCTGATCAATTTAAGAGATTTCATTTTAATATATATATACAATGTACACAGTAACTATTTGAACAAAACTTGAGTTGGCTTCACTTGCTGATTAAAAAACTTTCCATTGCTGTTCGGGTCACATCTAAATTTCTTAAAGCAATCTAATAAGCCATTCGTTCCCTGTACCCCTCCCTACCACACTCCACCTTCCTTTTCCTTCTTTCTGTTTCTTAACTCTCTTCAATACCCGGGATATCTTGTACTTAGTATTCTCTATCCCCTGAAGCTCCTCCTTCATCTCCCCACTCCCATCATCAATTAAGACCGATTCCTACTCATTATTAAAGCCCAGGCTAAATGTTTCTCAGGGACCACTCCATTGAAAGTTTGGAGTAGTACAGGCTTCCCTGAAGAGTTCCAGTACTTGGAGAATTTCCCCCTGTAATTATGTGATTAGAATGAATACTCCATAGAACTGATGTTCCCTGCCTGTTACACAGCATTAGAGTAGGATACACTATTGCCTAATAAATATTTATTGAATTAATAAACAGAATCATAGTACTGTTTTCCTTATTGAAAAATCCCTAAAGCCATGTCTTTGTATTTGACAAACTACACTTGAGATATTAAGATTCGTTTTATTGAAATTCTTTGCTGAGTCACTGAGGAAAAAAACACCGTTCTAAAATCTACTGTTTTGTTTCATCTACTGACAGTGTTTTAATCAAAATGTCTATGGTGTGAGTATGATTTTCAGTGTTAAGTAAAATGAGGAAGGAAACAGAACCGTTTTGCCTCTTTGCAGTCTAGGGAGTGGCAAACAATGAGATTGTGAGATACTGAAACACAGATGTGTTAGCTCGCTCATCAGTTTATGTCAATGTTTCACAATGTGGTCCAGATTTCTACTTCTAGGTTTGTGGAACAACTTGGTTATTTTTGTCTTGAAAAACATCTCTTTAAAATTATGTGGAAACTCACGTTTATTATCAAATAATCAGGACATATAAAGAAATAAGAAGAATAATTTTCAACATGCTCACTCACCAGAGAAACCCTCAGTTGATATTTTATTGTATAATCTATATAATTTTTCTGTTTCCACATAACAAATGCCATGTCTTTATTATTTATAATTTTTTTTTTTACTTCAACTCTATCACAAATACTTGGTCTGGTCTTGAAGGGAAATTCACTTCTATTTCCATGATCGGGAGGTTTGGCTGTGTGTTTCTCAGCACATGATCCCTGGGCTGCGTTATGTCTGCCTGCTGTTTTGTTTTTATAGAACAATATGAAACTTTTAAAACAAATTTTCCCATAACTAGGATGGTTAATATGTGACATACAGCATTCTGCTCTTTGTGGAAATACTAGAACCTAATTGTCTCTACACTGGGACTGATTTCTTAATGATTTCTGAGAGATTGATCTTAAATATTATCATCTGGAAATCCTTAGTCCTCAGTAGAACTGTGTCCAAAATTAGAATCTTTCATACACTAAAATTTCTTTGGGAATATATCAGTGTTCGAACTTCTTTGTAAATTTATTTCTAGTCCTTTAGTTCTTAAACATATTTGATATGCCTCACAGTTTGCCAGCTGTGTTTCTTCTGGTTATAATTATTTCACTAGATTTTCGAGGAACATCCATCCCCTGCCAGTTGGCTTACAATTAAGCATGAACAAACAAGATCCATTTTTTGCATCTGACAATGCTAAGAGATACTACTGCTTATCACGTTGGGAAATGAAGACTTGTCTTCTCTAAGCCAAAACAAAACACAACAATAGCAACAGCAGCTTTTCCTCTTTCAGTGCTTGAGTATCCCAAACCGATGAGGATCTACTTTACATCATTACCTTATTTCCATTCATTGGGTCAACATTAAAGCATCTTTCACATGTGATAGTCTTATTTTTTTCTCCCACTTCTCAAAATAAATCATGGGAAGAAAATATGTACCCAAACATGATGACTTATATTGTATAATCAGTTATAATGAAAGAAGTGGAGAAAACGCACACAGAGAAATACTAGGATAAAGGTGATAAATGATTCATTCATTCTGGCCATCTTTCTTTATCCTTAATTCTTGGGCCCTAGACACATTTTTTTAAAAAATATACCTTTATGGTTTTTAGTCTATATCTTGTGAATGTTTTCTGCTGAGTTTTATTAGACCCAAAGCTCTACAATAAATGCTCAGGGGAAACTACAGACATTGTCCAGGCACCAAGTAATGGAAATTTCATTTCAATTACATATTGGTACGTCATGCATTTTAATTGCTTCCAAAGTTCACATGTAAACATGCACTCAAATCTTTGATGTTTCAGAATTCTCCTCTTTGTCATCTGATGATACTTCTGGTTCCCCTAGAAAAAAAGAAAGCAGGACTCAAATTTCCTTCTCATGATTCTCTTTGCTCACATTCCTCTGCCTGCCTTGCTGAACAGCTGCCAACAAATGCCAATCACTACCCACCAGGTGGACTGGAGGAAGAACTGCTGACTACTATAAAAGGAAGCTCAATCAGCCCCACAGGTCTCCCTTCACCCAAAGGGAACTGTACAGAACTGGGAGGCCTGGAAGGTAGGCAGAGGTACGCAACGACAACCACATCTGACGAAGATGCATCCAAGCATTGTGCAAACTGCTTCAAATTAGAAAGAATCATAAAGTGAATATGTTTCCATAGCAACCTCTCTGGCTGTGCTGAAATCCCATGAGATAAAACAAACCCAGCTTTGTATGTGTGCAGGGTCATTCTGAAGATCTCTAGGTCCATAGATACAGTGTATTTCCTGGGTTCCAGTTATTCCCATCCTGGGAAACCTCTAAGCTACTAATATGGTTTTGGGTGTTCATGGCCCTTCATACTGATGCCATTTACATTAATAGATTTAATAATGACTGACTGTAAAGGGTTACTATTTGTTAGACACTGGGATGAACCCTATATTGTTTTTGGAAACCTATGAAGACAATTTTATTGTTCCCATTTAATAGATAAGGAAGCAGAGAGAGTGAGTAATCTAAGATTACTTAGCTAAGAAAAGACAGGAACTGTGTAAAATCTGCATCGCCATTCCATCAGACTAAAAAAATCCATGCTTCATATATTGATAAGTTCAGTAGTCAAGATGCTACTCTCTACCCGCCCACTCATGTGGGACAGCACCAGTGAATTATTTGAGCTTAGCCGAGCATCTTCACTTGGCCTTGAGCCAGGGAAATTTAGGTTTGGCATTGCAAACTATTTTGTGGCTTCTCCCACGCACAGGATTGTGCAATGCATGTGACCTCTGTCTTTGCTGGGCTAGGGAGACCGCTTTCCTAGCTCTGGAGTTGGGTGTAACCTGTTGGAAACTCGACAGCCCACCTCCTACCTTAATTGTCTAAGACCATTCTATGGACAACCTTTGATATTTCCCCCACATAAATAAAGAAAACGTGGGTTCTCGCGCTCTCTTTCCAGTGTGGAAACTTGATTCCTAAGATCTGAGAGCTGTCCTGCCCTGCTTTCTGTGACTTCCTGTGTCCTGTGGTTTCTTCTCTGTTTTCTCTTTCCTAACTTTGCTTCACAGCCAGCCCGTGACATGCAGAGGATACCCAAATTCCACCACCTGTGTGGGACGTGGGCAAGACCCTAATTCTTCCAACCCCCTAACTCCCAATCCCTGTCTGCTTCCCAGCTGCAAATGTGCTGAGCAATTTTCTACCTCCACACCCTTTTGACACAATGATTGTGCCTTGGACAGCCAGCTGACCCTGCAATGAGGCCTCTGAAACTGATGAAAATCATGGAGCTGCTGGCCTCGAGCCAAGAACTCACCGCACAGCATCAGGGGAATGACCGCAAGGGTGCGTATGGTGATTGTGTGGTTATGTCATCACAAACAGAACAGTATCCAAAGATATTTGGCATATGACGTTTTTGTTGCCCTATTTTCCAGTCATGTGTATAGAAAAACAACATTTTACAAGTATGCACCATGAACAAGCCAATAGACCTGGGAACTCTCACTTTAAGCTCTGCTCACCTAGAGGCCATGAGGCTGATCATGATGGCCCAGAAGACTTTCACGTGGCAGGTGCTACCAATGGACACCCCTTTCCCAACCTGTGAAGATAAAAAAAAGTACTTTGCATCCAAAGTCACTGAGGAAAAATTTCAAACCTAAACCTGCCTTTGTCTGGGTGTACTTCTTTAAACAAGAGTTAACAGGTTGGCTGCCACCAAGGGCTAAAGAATCAAACCTGTGGGCCTCATCTAGCAAAGCAAAGGAAGAAGAATATTCAGAGATGGCTGTCCTGAAGGCAACACCTGCGGTGACTTCTTGAATTTTCACAGTGTGAAGCAGGCACTCCTGTGACTTTACAAAACGGCTCGTGGAGGTGAAGCATTTGTCTTAATTCATACTCTGATCAGGTGTAGTGTGGCGTCTTGAAACTCGCTGAAGGGAAACAGTTCAGTGAACAACCTTGCTTCCCTGGAGGCTAGACTTAACTGGTTTCTTTATGCAATCCAGCTTTATGTTTCATTTTCAAACACTCCCAGACAGGGGTTGGGAGTTAGGGGGTTGGAAGAATTAGGGTCTTGCCCACGTCCCACACAGGTGGTGGAATTTGGGTATCCTCTGCAAGTCACGGGCTGGCTGTGAAGCAAAGTTAGGAAAGAGAAAACAAGAGAAGAAACCACAGGACACAGGAAGTCACAGAAAGCAGGGCAGGACAGCTCTCAGATCTTAGGAATCAAGTTTCCACACTGGAAAGAGAGCGCGAGAACCCACGTTTTCTTTATTTATGTGGGGGAAATATCAAAGGTTGTCCATAGAATGGTCTTAGACAATTAAGGTAGGAGGTGGGCTGTCGAGTTTCCAACAGGTTACACCCAACTCCAGAGCTAGGAAAGCGGTCTCCCTAGCCCAGCAAAGACAGAGGTCACATGCATTGCACAATCCTGTGCGTGGGAGAAGCCACAAAATAGTTTGCAATGCCAAACCTAAATTTCCCTGGCTCAAGGCCAAGTGAAGATGCTCGGCTAAGCTCAAATAATTCACTGGTGCTGTCCCACATGAGTGGGTGGGTAGAGAGTAACATCTTGACTACTGAACTTATCAATATATGAAGCATGGATTTTTTTTTAGTCTGATGGAATGGCAATGGTATTTTGGTGGTATTTTAAATTTTTTATTGCAACAAATTTTCATTTATATGTAAAGTCTTATATTGTAGGTCCAGATAAACTATGTGAAGATTTAGGTATTTTAATGATTGTAGATGCACTGAGTGAAGTACAATAATTCGGACACCTGCCCCATTGTGAGTTACGTACAAAGAGACAATACAGTTTTCACATCAGAACGCCTACCACATGACTCATTTAGCTTTATGTTAGAAAAACAAGTACAACAGCACTTGGCATAGGGATTGTTCAACAATCTCATGCCAGGTCCTAAGCTTTGGACATTGAGCACCAACAGATGATAAAAGTATGTAGGCTTAGGAACAAAATTAATGTTGATTTCAGATGATCCACTTATTGGTTAATTAATATCTTAATTAAATAAACCTATTAGCAAAGAAACAAGATTGGTGTTATTATTCTAGGAGCCATATATGTAACCTGGTATATGTACAGCATGAAGTCTTGTGCGTTTAAGAAATTGAAATGGTGGATGTTCTGATGTGATTTGTATGTTTACATTCAATAAACCTAATCTTTACAGCAGTTTTAGGTTCACAGAAAAATTGAGCAGCAGATAAAGGAATTTCCTATATGCCTGCTGCACATTCATAGACTCCTCTACAATCAATTTCCTACACCCTGGTAGGGAATTTGTTAATATTCTTCAAAAGGAACAAGATGATATATGTCTGACAGATGGTGTTGGAAACCAATCATAATTATATTCACTTTTCTGTACATGTTCCTTACCACTTTAAGAGGGAAATAAGCTCACCACAATCATAGACCACTAAGGCTTTAAAGATTGGTACAATCACTGTCTCTATTAATTGCATCAAACCCAGAATCACAGAAAAATTTCTACTCATGTAATCAACATTCAGATCATTTCCTACACGATACTAAAGTTTCCTGTAAATTCTTACTACTCTTTACAACAAGTGTAGAGAATTATAGGCACAGCTCTAGAAATCCTGGATATTTAAACTAGGATTCTCATGATGGAGGCAGAGCTACAGATTGATTTTAAAACAACCTTACATACCTTAAATATCAGTTTTCATTTTCACTTGGATGAAATCACAACATTCATTTTCAGGATTCCATTAAGTTAAAATTTGAGCCATCAGGGATTGGGGCAGGGTCTAGAATCCTATTTCTGTTATTGCCTGAGCTCACTCTTTAGAAATTTTTCTGCTTCCTGTGTGGGTTTGGCATTGAACTAGGTTCAATCTGGAATCCACTCTTCTGACATGATCACTTAACCAGACTCCCCAAAAAATGGATTTTCCCTTACAGGCTCTGCCTCTCAGAATGGCATCAGAAATAGTCACAGGCCTTTGCCAGGATGGTGATCTTAGTGCAATGGTCTCTATGACCAGGATGTGCGCTGCGGGGAACAGCTAGTTCCTGAGATATGGGTCAGTGATTCTGTGACCTCTCCTCTCCTTGGACCTGTAGTAGCAATGGGTGTGCAGGTTTGAGGAGCTGAGGACATTTCTGAAAACCTTTTACCCAGGTGACATTTATCAAAAACAATTATAAGTTTCTTGCTAATGTCTCCTAAGAGATACTGGAGTGTTTGGAGAGACTCTTACTTATCCACAGTCCCAGTTAGCAGGCAGCATCCCATACTGAAGGAGCAGATAATGCTGCAGTCTGGCATGTACACAGGTGGAAGGCAGCTATGTGTGTCATATTGTAATCCTTGCCTCCCTGAGACATTTTGCTACCCTTTTATGGTTTGGATCTGGAATGTGCCCTAAAGCCTCATGTATTCAGGGAATGGAACCCAGTGAAGCACTATTCAGAGGTGAGGCTTTGGGGAAGTGATTAGATCATTGATGGCTGAATAAACTACTGGGCAGTGATGGAAACTGTCGGTGGTGGTCCATGATTGGAGGAAGGAGGTCACTGGGGGTTCCCTTGCCCTGAAAGGGTTTTCTTGTCCCTAGTCACTTTCTCTCTTAACTGTCTCTCTCGGTCTAACCTCTCAGTCTTCCTTCCTTACTCTCTTCTGTCTGCCATGGGCCGAGGAGCTTTTCTCCACCATGCCGTTCCACCTCGCCTCAGGCCCAAAGCAATGGGACCCACCAACCGTGGATTGAAACTCAAAACCATAAAGCAAAATAACTATTTCTTCATCTATCCAACAATAACAAAAGATGTGATTGGCTTTCTTTTAGATATTTTTAACTAAATTTAGGATTTCTGTCCACCAGAGATGTGACCTTTGTTGAAGTGGTGCTATCTTAGCAGCAAGTTTGGACCTACTCCTACTTGGGTAGGATGGGATGCTTTCTTTACCAGTTTGAGCCCTGGGTATGTTTTAGTCGGTTTACTTTCATTGAGAAGCACTCATAGGAAAGCACTGGTGAAGGGGAAGGCAGCGCTGGACCTTTTCACTTATCTGCTGCCTCCCACTCCCTAGCGCCAGACTGTGCCATAGTCATGCTGGCCTCCAGGGGAGTGCCAAAGTCTCAGAGCTACAGGAGGAGATCGGAGAGGGTACAGCATGTGGCTCAACAGGAAAAGCCAAGCACAGCTTGACTGTGGAACAAAAGCAAATCCCACCACTCCTGACCTCAGATATGGGTCAGTGATTCTGTGACCTCTCCTCTGTGGATTGCTGAGAGAAGTTCCCAACAGGTACTGGTTTGCTGCTACTGTAGCAGGTAAGGATGTATAGACATGATAATTAGGTAACTGATACGTGTATGACCTCAGCTGAACTAACTGGCTAGGCAAGCCTGAATATCCATGCTACTCTTACAAGTCTGTTTTTTTTAAAGATGATATTTTAAGGCTCTCAATATAACATAGAATATAATGCAAAGTTAAAACTATAATTTAGAATTTTTCTCACCAATCTAGAGCTATTAGCAATCATTTTTTTTCTTTAAACTCTGATCCAGCCCCACACTTTTGGCAATGATAAACTAGGCATACCAACTAGCACCAGGATTGTGAATAGAAACAACTGATAGAATAATTTATGCCGTGCACAAGCCAGAGAATACGTGAGTTTATGTAGGCAAAGTGTCAAGTCAATAAAAGTGCTAAAGGCAAGCTTAGATCAAAGTACAGTGTGTCCTGTCAACCTGGAAGACACAAGAATATGTATTTGAGATTTGACTCGTTGGCCTGTGATGAGGATTTGGGGAGGTAAGCTGAATGAACACAAGGTACAGAGAGGATCATTTTGTTAGCTTTATAGTCAGTGTCCAGATTTCTATGCAGGGCAGAAGATACAGGAAGCATAGAGGCTTGGCTGGAGATGAATACAGAAAAAGAGAAGGGAGCTGGCTTAGTAACTAATCACTGGAAATTAGCAAAGAGATACTAATCTATGTAAATCCATAATTAAGATGGTTGGTATTTGAAAGGAATTTTTGCCTTCTGAATCAATTTGTAGCAGCCTTTCTCTTACAGGCAAATATGGGCAAGATTCAGAGATACTCATAAAAAGTATCACTTTTTGGTTTCACAACTCCCAAAAATAATTTTGAAAAACTATGCAATTCCTCATACTTTTTAAGTTGATAATGTTTTCTCTCTGTGTTTAAATAATTGCAATGGATATGCTGTCCTACATTTTGAAAATATTAACATCTTAAAATTGTTACACTACTCTTAAATGCAGCCATTGGAATCTAGATACTAATCTAGATACTAATTCCTTCCAAATACCAACTGTCTTGATTATGGATTCACATAGATTAGTATCAATGAAACTAACTGGTTTTTGCCATAAGCTATTTAAGAATACGTAAGGGACCTCTGTTATAATAGTCAGAAATTTTATATTGTTCCTTTTAATCACTGAACATATTCCATTCATCTTCCACCAGAGAATTTAATTTACTATTTGAAGAATTTCATTTTACATCTGAAAGTGTTTTTATTTTAACTCTGTCATTTTATTCTACACATATATA